ACTGTCAGCACTAAAGATCAAGTTATATAAGATATTGTTACTCTACCAGTTATACCGTTAAGAATAACAATTGCTTTATTACTACTATTTTTACCTACAATAAACATACAATAGTTACGGAATCATGATTTCGGTAAATGAAGATAAAGTCTGTGTAATATTTGATTCCCCTTTGTAGCATTTTCCTTGGCAAAGGTGTACGATATTGAACACACCTTACCGTTGCTTTCACAACCCATACTCCCGTCATTAGAGACTAATAACCTTGCTTCATTCAATCAAAATTATTGACGAGAATATGAAGATGTGAAAGCAACGGTGTGATAAACATCGAGCATCTTTGCTAAAAGAACATGCCTCTATATTGGATGAATTCATGTATTGACACAACCAAAGCTCAGAAGCAGAATTTAATTAAAATTCAGATCAAATTGCTTTGTTTCATTTTTTTTCCAGAGTTGAGTCGACTTGTTAATCATGATTGATCTGACGAAATTCTTACTTGATTAAACCAATGAACAATTCCTGACTGTTAATCAAAAAACCAAAGTCTGGTGTACCTGGAAATTTAGATTAAAACAAAAAGTGAATCTAATCTCTATAGTTTGTGATCAGAAGGTTGCCAAGTCAGCGCCACCCTTGACTGTGAAAATGAGCAAGTAAACTTTTGACGATGTCAAATTTCAACATATGCTTTCAACAAGATTGAATAGTGGAAAATAGCCGATGCCAGTTATTACCAGGTGATATCCAAACACATGCTAATTGTGATTGCAAACCGTGAATATCAGATGATTAACTGCAAAAGTTATATAACAGTTGGTTATTTTGATCATAATTATTTTTACTTATCATGATTATTTTTACTCACATACGATAATGAACAGTATTATCACAATTATTTTTTCTTTTCGGTTGTAATAGAAAAATTATATAGTTTAACATTGTCATGTATTCAAGTAAAACCTGTATTCATTTCGAAAATTTCGAAAAAAGAATTTCTATAATTTAGTATTCATATTATGTGCAGTTTATTTTGGCAAGACGGATAAACTTGTTTATTTATTTTAAGAATGTTTGTTATATAGAAATATATCAAAATCCGTTGAAAATATGCTCAAGCTTCCTTCAGAATCGCTGTAAACAATTAAGGAAAATAACTTCTCTTATTCAGTATTTTAATGTGGGCCAATACTGAATTAGTTATGGAGGTGTTTGGTTCTAATGTTACAAATCATCATCAAAACATTAACCCGTCTTCAACAGCAACAATTCCGGAAAAGATTACCCGGGTGTATGACATGGTAATGGCTGATCGTGGATGTACAACTCTGCCAGTGTCGTAGGAATCTCTCATGACAGGGTTGAGCACATTATCACCAACGAGTTGGGAATGACAAACGTTTCTGCAAATTGATTCAAAAGCTCTTCACAGGTCGATCAGAATCGTGTCAGTAACAATTTATGATCGATCAAGATGATATTTTGATACCATTGATGAGACATGTTTCCAAAATGAAAAAGAAGCTAGCCGGACGCCATTAACTTACATATGATGACGTCATTTCCGATATGAAGGACCCTTTACATTGTGGATGAGGATAATGTATGCTCGACTGGCATCCAGACCTTTACCTCTAATTAATTCCAACTCGTACACATTAATCTACGTGGCACGACCATCTCTTCAAACCATTGCTACTTAAAGATTTATAAAATTCCTGATTTATGTAACGCCACAGGGAACTATCTTTAAGCATTATAGAGATGAACTACAAATAAAAGAAATATTTACATTGCAACCTTAATTACATTTCATGCAAGTAGTTCAAGGATAAGATCTAGCAATCGTCCCAATTGTACAAGTAGGGGGAATAAATCAGCGTTTAATCTCTTTGGATCGATTGGCTATATAATGGAATACACAAAGTCAGATTGAATAGAAATACATGATGGGAAAACTGTATACATCAATACAGACGGAAAAAACTGTTTCAACCTAGTATGTCAAATTGATTCTCAAGGTTCTTAACCTCATGTGATATATAGATTGCATTGATCGACGTTATTCGACAAATTAAGTATTTGAATTAAGGATTTATAGTAAGCATTTAAAGTAAGTATTTGAATTAAGTATTTAAAGTATGTATTTAAAGTAAGTATTTATATAAAGCCACAAGTGTAATAGAATCGGATGAATAAGGTTTTTTAAAAGTATTAATTGAATAAATTTAGCACATGAATTGTAGGTTTCACCACTTTTGGACTAATTTGATTGATCTAGATATTCCTTGGGTGTTTTTTTCTTTAGCTAACATTCCATCCAATCTATGATCTATACATCACGAGTTCTAGGTCATTAAATATTCAACCAATCATCCACTTTCCGTAAGCAACAAATACAATCCTTACAATGTTAGCAATTTCAAAGGGTGAATTGGTTCCTATATTTATAAATATCAAACCATTTCAGATTACCTTATGTTCTGATTGCGAATTAGTATATAGCCATTGCCCTCATCAAACGAGAAAAAAAGAAATCTACTAGTTGTATCAACAACAACAAATTGTAAAGTACTAAATGAGATTGTAAGCCTTGTGAATTATGGGATTAGGAAACAGATATATGTATAAGTATACCTAAACTCTTGAGTCGAACTATGTTGGAATGTACTCTTCTGTTAAAGTGAATATTTTGTGTTGTTTTTGTAAAACACAACAACAAGCCCTAACAAGATCATTTGAGACGAACTCCTCATTTGGAAGAATGAAACCCTCCCTTCCCCGAAACCAAACAAAACCTGCTTTCACTGCCGAGAGTTCCAGCTTATTTGAAAGGACGTAATATAGCTCAGTCGGTAGCGAGTTGGATTGTCGTCTGCTAGGCGATGAAATGCCGTCTGTTCGAATCCTTTTCAATATAAGAACAATTCTGATCCCAAGGTGCTTCCAAAATTCGTCCCGGTGTCGTTTTTAAACCTTACCCATTGAAACATGTAAATACACATAAATAAATGTTCGATTCATAACTGCTTAGAAAGAAAGGGCACACGACAGACAGAATTCATATATCATCTAAATCTACTGACGTGTTCAGTAGCCATTAAAGAAGCATGAAAACAATTAGCATAGTTATTGATGAAAGGACATTTCATTATAGAGTTTCAGTTATTTATTCTTATCAATTAATAGCATGTCGATTTTCTTCTCAATAGAAAAACAACTTCGTTAAAATTTAAAAACATGTAAACAGTTCATTTTGATTTTTTTTGTTACTAAACAAAAGCGTGACCTGGCATTAAGACGCAATAGAAAGAAACCTTTTCATAAGTAAGTAAACTGAAATATATGGAATATATCGAGTATTATTGTACGTTATTTCGGCGTCGACGCCGAGGGCACCCCCTCCATAGAAAAATGGTTAACATCCCCAATTGTATTCCCACTTTATTTTGACAAGTTCAAAAATATTATTTTTATAGGTGTTTGGACCAAAATATGTATCAGAATGCACCAAATCAATTCATTTTTTCGAAAATATTTTGGGGCGAATCCTCTTAGTGTTGCTGCATTTTAAATTCAGACTGGGCAGGTGTTCCCTTTTGGTACTACCCCCAGTTTTGGGAGACTGCTGCCGCTACTGGTTGTTTTACAGATCCTTTTAGTCCGTATTGATATAGAAACATATATTCTATTCTCAAAGCAAAGTTAATTTAAATGCAGTGTTTACCTTGTTATGGAAAGAAAGACGAAATGGTCTATACGTCTAAAGCAAGTCAGTGTGATTATTGGACATACTGTTTAGATTAAGAATTGGTTCCAGACATTATTGGAAGATCACGAACTGGTCCTAGCGTGTAAAGTGTATGATTACTTGACCACTACTCTGTGGACATAACAGTATTGGATTTTCTCATTACAGAATTGAACGAATGCGTAAATCGGTTGAGTGCGACAAACTTTTCTTATTTGTGATATTAGTTATTCCTTTTAGAATAACTGACAAGTGACTGAGTGGAATTTTATTAAAACCGGAACTTCATATTACTGTGAACAGAGTGTGTGTGCATTCGATATTAGTGCTTAATATCTTCTTGAGTTCGATGATGTAACTTTCAAGTGAAGGTGTGCAAGCAAGAAACTTACTGACGAGAACCTATTTGTATATTACATGTATATAGATCGACTTGTTGAGAGAAGTTTCTATCAGGCTTCGTTCCCATGTTAGTAGGAATATAGTTAGATAATGTACTGATATCTTTATGTAGTTTAATTATGGACCATATAGGATTCAATTAGCTACGTAGAATCTCCGAAAGTGAAGTCACACTGTAAGGCTCAAGTGCAGAGTGGCATAAGGAACGCAATTGTGTATTCGATTTTTGATTCGAGGTCGATAAAGTGTCAATAAAAATCTATAGAATTTTATTAGTTACGTAAAGTCTGGAAATGTTAATCGCAGAGTGGCATCAGGTTTTCCAGAATAATTGCTTACAGTTTGTGTAAATTTGACTGATTTTGATATGGATAATTAAAAATTAACGTGACGAACACAGTACAATCGTCGGTGTAAAGCTTTCCTAAAAAATTACCAAATATAGATTTGAAAGTGTCGTACGATTTCGTCGTAACAAAGGAATTTACCAAACATAGGCAAATCAAGTGGGAGTTCAGATTCCGGATACTATTAGCCAAGGTGTGTTTTGTGATAAGCCATGTGTTCGATTCATCGGCCATCTAGTACCTACTAATTAAACAATGTGCACGTACCATTCGATTAGTGTGATAAGACTGAAGTTGAGCATATGGCTGATTAACACTAACACTGAACACCTTATGTCAGCAGACGGAAGTGTTATTGGACTGAAACCCTAACGTTATGATATTGAAAGCTTCAAATCGTAATGTCTTTTGGATAATGTACATGTATAATGGTTGGAGTCCCTTGGATTGGCCATCGAGGAACTTGTTACCGGATAGGTGACATGCTTCTACTAATCATGGCCCTCGTTGTACAATCTATTGTACCCAGTATGACTTCAGATTCCAGTCATCTTAAAGTTATGATCTATTGTGACGATGATTCGTATCCAGGATGTCAAAATGCGCTTTTAAAATATAATTTTTTAACCGGATATGATCCGAATCGGATAAGTGGTACTAACGACAGTTGTGGATTCGGAACTCATATTACTTTTAATAAAACGGATGTACTAGTGATAGCGAACTTGGATTACTTATCCTACGGATTAAAGTCATACGACGTTGTTGTTGCGATTACTAAAGCTGAGAAGCTTCAAGTTTTGTCCATTGTCCTAGATGAACTTCAGATACCTCTTGCTGGATATTCTACCAATAAAATGCACGAGGTAAGAACATGTTATAATATACCATTTAAATCATTTCTACAATAAAAAGAATATAAAACCATGTTACACATATACAATTAGTTTCTGTATAAAAATGAAAATTCAGATATTGGGGATACCCACTAAATTGTTAATATACACATGAACCAAATCTATTTGCACTGCATTTCGAAAAAACATTTGAAGATCAAGTTTCATACATGTGGGGTGAAGATAGTGTGATTTTTTTGTCGTTTGTGGGGGGGGGGGGGACACTTTTGGTCTTGAATTTACAGTAAATGCCTACATTACAATTCACATGGAAAAATTAATTTAAAAATCTGTCTCACTGTTTTAATAGTGGTCGTCACTTGCTATCTGTACAAATCATTGGGGAAATCCAATGGTTAATTCAGAACATTCAACTTTCATTACAATCAGTCAAACAAACCATTACAATATTCCAAACATTCATCAAGTAATCATTTGCATATTAGAAATAATCATGGAACATTCATGCACTTTTCATTCCGACGATAATTCGTTTTCGCGAAGGAATTTTGAAAAGTGAATAAACCATATTTTACAGTTGGATTACAATACATGTAATCAGTATGATCCCATAATGAGATCTTGACTGTATCGCGAAAAAAAATTACCTACATCATTATAATGATTATTAGGTATGGATGAACATTCATTATAATGATTATTAGGTATGGATGAACATTCATTATAATGATTATTAGGTATGGATGAACATTCATTGAGATAGTTATTACAGACATGATTTTCAAGATGAGGAACATTAATGCCTTATTATAACCCATATTTTTCAGGTGGATTAAAATAATCATTATGTTCTTATAAGGAGATATCTGTAATGAGTTGTAACAAGCTATTCTTTAGTATAATGACAAATATTTTATGAGAAACCCTTAAGGTGCGAATAGACTAGGTACGGTATCCGGATCGGGATTATCGATACAAAAAAAATTGAAGAAACGAATGTGTCCGTACCGTGTCCGGACCCGTACCTCGTGTGTTCACTTCTTCTACTTTCATTTTTATTTATTATTCCTCACCGTACCGCACCGAACACCGTACCCCAATTCGCGGCTTTACATCAAATACTTATTTCTATAGCATTCCGTGTCGGTACAACCCCCGCAAAACAGAAATAGCTCTTAGACTACATAGAGTAACTTTACGTACGTCCAAGCGATGCTTCCACCAAATCCGTATTATAAAATAATTCTTATCTTTTTATTAATGTACAACTGGCATCAGATTTGTGTTGTAGACAAATATATTAGCCAAAATTGAGTTCAAGTTGATTTGATTAGATTTGAATTCAAGATGCCTACTCGACGATACCATTACTTGGTCTGCAACGACAATTTTATACAATCGAAGATTATCAGACTATAATATATTAATATATATTTAAAGACAGTCAACTCGGAAACGTGACTTCAGATTATCTCGATCTGGCATCATTGACGTTAACAACATCATTGAGACGGCACAGATTTTTATTTTTAAATAGACAGTCGCTCATACCTAAAATATCATAAATATATCGTGAACAATGGAGGTATACATACGGTATCATCGAAATAGGAATCATCAGAATTAGAAAAAGTCACACGAATCAGACGTGATTGATAAAGACTATTAAATATATAAGACAATCATGACGGGAATGTCTATGCACTTTTAGATAAAATTTGTATCTTACCAATTAAGCATCCCCATATCCATGGTTCGTCGAAGTCTGTGTTCAGAAGATCGACAGAATCCCATTGTGGACAATGTCAAAGTGACAAAATCGATTCTCTCTCAGCCCATGTACATCCTTTCCTTTCTTTTGTCTCACATTGGACGTTCTTTTGCAAACGAGTTGTTCTCGACCGTCATCTGGAACAAGGAACATAGCGGACTATGGGTCGTCCACCAACTGTGGTCATTAGCGTGTGGGAATAATTTGACATTCATGGACAGGCTTGGTGTCCTTAATTTAGTCTAGGTTATTTACAAGTAATCCGAATTATATTGCGAAATCATAATTATTTCATAATCATAATTAAAAGCGTGTTAGTATTTCCTTTCTTAGACCAATAGTTGAAATTGAAACGGAGTTTTACGTCCAATTTAATATAAGAGTAGTTTTACCACCCAAAACTGGAATCAGTCCACTCTTTTTGCATTTCATATTACTTATTGTACCATTTAACCTACAGACACAACCTTAAGACACAACAAGAACAAAATAACACCTACGACCTGTGTTGGGCTGCTGGGGAAATCGGGTTCCAAAGTCCGAAGGTACAAGACTAACACTGTCTTTTTCAAGCACAATCTAAACACAGCTCATATTCCCTGTTGGTGGGTGAACAATCCAACGCTTGGTGAGTTTTGCTTCACAATCATAGGAAAAGACTAAATCGGAGGATTGAAAAGCAACATCACTAAAATCGCAATGGCCAATTACGACGTGGTATTCGTATTTTGAAATTTAAAATAAAAAATATGAAATTTCTATGATTTTGACTCTGAAAATAGTTTACAGTTGATTTTTCATTTCATAAAAACATTGTCAAATTCCATTGAGAAACCACAGTGGTCGAACAATATAGTTAACAGTGATTATTTCATAATAGAATTGATTGACAATTGAAAATAATACTATGATTTATTCATTCATAACCAATTACTAAATCATTCATCAATAGTAATTGTTTTCAATAACCAGAGGTAGTTATGTTATTTATGAATCTTTGATGAGATATTTCACGTGTAATGATTTTTGGCATAGTCTGTGATATCTCTATCCACATCGATATCATAAATGCGGCTGCAGAAATGACCAGCGAATGTATCGTGCTGAAATAGCCATATGAGGGTTCAATTATTCAATCTCATTTGTTAGATTATACCAAATCGTAATCAAATTGCATGGTCTCATGGACAATCTTTCTATCGTCAAGTCGTCAGATCTATATTGTCCCATACTGGAAAATAGTGATGCTTTGTCAGGACTTCGAATCTTCGAATCAGTGGTAGTGAAATGTAGCTGAAAATCTTGACAGAAGGTAACTGGAAATGGACCATTAAAAATGAGCTAGGATCAGTAACTGAAATTCTTGACAAAAGGCACGAGCTAGGATCAGTAACTGAAAATTTTGACAGAAGGCACGAGCTAGGATCAGTAACTGAAAATTTTGACAGAAGGCACGAGCTAGGATCAGTAACTGAAAATTTTGACAGAAGGCACGAGCTAGGATCAGTAACTGAAAATCTTGACAGAAGGCACGAGCTAGGATCATTAACTGAAAATCTTGACAAAAGGCACGAGCTAGGATCATTATCTGACAATCTTGACAAAAGGCAAGAGCTAGGATCATTAACTGACAATCTTGACAGAAGCCACTGAATCTCGACGATTACTAAGGAAAGGAGTTAAAACCCTGAATTGAAAATCATGACAAACGACATTGCATTTAATCCAGTTTTACCCATTCCCCTAATTATTCCTTTTTATTTCGTGATTTCATCTTAGATTAACTTTTTCATGTCGGAGAATATAGGCTGTCTGAATTTAACTTGTAATCGTCTAATGATTTTATGCTAGACTACAAAGCGCCTAATTACCCCCAAACATTTTTAAAATTACGCCCTTGGCGGTAGTTATCCCCAGGTTGAAAACCCTTGATCTAATCAGTAACTGAACATTTAGATAGAAGACATGGTACTTGAGTAGTAAATGTTTTTCAAGCTCATTTTGTTCACTCAATAGAAATTATGCACTTATCTAACAATAAGCTTCGATAGCACAGCGTGATAAAGATCGTGTTTATTAATGTGATCAATTCTCTTTTAAATAAAAACTATCGATGATTCGTTCAATAAAAATGTAAAGTTTATAAAAATACAGCTATGTAATGGGTTATTAGGTATACATCGATATAAAAATGCTTTTATAAATGAAATCAAACAAATTGATGTCGATTACCATCTCCTGTTTTAAGACAATTAATTTAGTCGGCTGTGTATAATATTCGCATATTTTTTTGTAACCAACGTAACTAATTTCGTAGAGATTTTATTCAGCTCACATTTCACGCAGGGAATTACTGACTTGCGCAGTGGCGTTTTCATTGACAGGTGGTGGGAGAGACATGGCACTTGACATGAGGGCACTAAACATGGTTGGTATCAAGGGGGGGGGGGGGGGGGGTTATCTTCAACCGTGGAAGGCTGATTAGAAAATCTAACGCGATTTTGGCAATGAAAGTAAAATAAATTGGAAACCCCCTTACCCATAATACGCCACTGCACGTGCGATAAATGCCATACACGGTACTAGAAGAAATGCGTCTACACCGGGAGTAAAGACTTTATAGAAGCTACAAACATTAAAAAAGATCATTATACCTCTTAATTAACTGTTTCTTCCCCCACAAGGGCATTCAAGGCCATGGACATTTTTTATATAATACGTATCTTTCATGAGAAAAATATAACGCCGACCAACATAACGTAGCCTTCATAACCTGATGATACGACCCTTTAAATATTGGCAAGTGGATCTACTCAAATCAGTATTATGAAACTGTGAATTGCTGTGAATGCACCTTCCTGTCCAACGACTGATGTTGCCTGTGACTTTAAATATACCAATAATAGTTTTATAATGATTAGATGTTAACAGATGGTTCATTTCCGCTATGAAATGTTTATCAGCTGTGATCAGGAAGTTCCTGTAAAACGCTGATTTCAGATCCGCGATAGTTAGGTTTATCTAACAGGCATTGTAAAGATACTAAAACTATTGTAGTGGGTATCTTAAGCGAGACGTTCTTCCAGCTCATCTTGTGGTTCACTACGAAAAGCTACGGGCTAAGAGCAGATTACGATAAATGAAAACGAACTGCCATGACGAAAGTGAAGGCTGGTTGGTTTAATTCCTATTTCCCAGTCCATTTATAGAAATTAATGTGGAGAATCGAAATCAAAAGCAATTGTTGTCTCTTCCAAGATTTCTAAGGCTTAAAGAAAAATTGCAGAACCGTAGTGCTAATGAATGTTTATGCTCTCGTGTCATTATTTACCTCAATGTGAGAAAAATATTTCCGGTACAGTTCCGGATCTTTGAATAGAGAAGTACAATTCGTGCAGATGTCCGACAATAGGCAATTAATACGGAAGATATGCATGTTAGAGACTTATTACATTGTGGGATTCATAATATAGTATGTAATGCTTCTTAGCATGTTGCGGTTGCATAATTCGTTTGCTTATTTTTATCATGATTATCCAAGCGTCAGAATGAATGATTTACCATAGCTTCTTTAGGGGATTGAACACAGGCATACAATTGCTGCAATGGAAAAGGGAAAAACGGCTTTGCCAATATATTCAATAAACCCTCTTATGTCTCGATTTGGCAACAAACGCTCTTTGTCAGTTTCCATGATGTCAGTTATATCCGAAGGGATATATTACACTATTACATAATGCCTTAAGCCTTCACTAGCTTCGACAGAAAACAGAATTAATATGGCCTCATGAATAGTGCACTTTTTTCCTGTTTTATGTATGACTTCTGTTTCATGTCATATGACGTTAAAGAGATCACATCCATCACTTTTATAGAACACTGAATTTCCCAGTTTAAGAACTCAAGTCCGTAGCTTCTACACCACACCACACTACAGTTTAAGTCCATTCCAAAGGTCTTATTTTCGACAAACGAATAAACGATATTAGCTATATTGGTACTCTGCGGAAGAGGTGCCGGGTTGAAAAAACCAAGTCGAAGAGTGATATTACGTCTTACAGAAGA